CTCTCAATGGAACAATGTAAAACGTTGCAAAAATAATAACTGTATGCATTGCCGTTGTAACTAATAAGACCAACCAAGCTTGTTTCCTTCATTTTCTAATCTGAACTAGAGAAAATTGTCAGCTGAATGCTCATTAGGTTCTATGGGCATCACATTCATATAACACTTTTTCATACATAAGACCCTGTATTTATGCTGGAGATAATGGCACTACTTCACCCGAGCTCTGTTTCACATCAGAAAAAAAACAATATGCAGTATGTATTGTAGGACTTTTAAGCAGAATAAGCGACTACTGTTTCTAAAAATATTTGCCATTCTGGCCAATTACACCCATGTCACTGAGTTCATGAAATAAAAGAGTCATAGTTCCTTTGTAATATTCCATTGACAAGATACTCGGCTAACCAGGGCTAGACCACAACAAATACCACCACATCTTTGGAACTTCTGAACATTCTCTATATAGTTTGGGTGTTCTGCATCTCATAATTAAATTCCTTGGTAAGCTACACATTTTTACATAAAAGAGTAACATTGTGGGCCTACATAACAAAAGTGATTTGAGGGTAGTAACTTAAATGACCTCAGTCTAAGCAAAAACTTTTCTGTAGCAATAATGGCAGACTTACTTTGGAATATAACTGAATATATTGTGACTGTTTCTGAGGCTGGAAATTGTGAACATTTTCCAATTCTCTAAAACCCCCTACCAACTGGTGCTCTTGGCTCCCACAATTCTTTATCACTCTATCTTCTGTCACAGCCACAACTAAAGTACCCAGTGTGAGCATCTAGAGGAAAAGGTAGTACCATCCCCTTACATCATTTGGCAGTGCGCGGGTCTAACATTTGACTACCAAAGTTGTAGCACTTCATCATTGGAGGAGGTCACGTACAAATTTTGGAGGAAGGAGCAGTGGGGGATCACTGAAGACATAAGTATCAGGGTGGCAAAGTGACAGTACCTCTTTAAAGTCTTGGTGTGTATGTCCAGGCCTCTCCTTGAGTGTCTCTCCTTGGCTCTACTACTAACAGCTATGACAAAAGCAGCACATACAGTGTACAATTATTTGATTCTTCCACAGCAAATTACTATTGTAGCGTTAGTGGCCCCAATCAATAGTTTGCGGTAATTACAGGCCTAGAATTTTAAGAAATTACGCTGGGGTCATATTCCCATCTTAGAGTTGAATCTTTTCTTTATTGAGACTTATTCCTATTTTAGATAACGAGTGCCTAGACAAGTTCTTGTTTAATGGCTAACTGAAGGGAAAATCACAGCAAACTTTCAAAGGACAAGGCTAATTAGTCAAACCGCTAATCAGGCTGACATAGAGCTTTGCACTTTGAAAGACTGCTATGATTTCCACTGTGGTTACTCATGAAACATCTTACTTTTGATATTTGCCTTAAAAGGACTACTCCTCCCTTTCCATGGCTAACAAGGTAACATAATTCATCTTCATTTCGCATTTCAAAGGTATGTAGCTTTCGGTAAATCAAACTCCTGAGCAGGAAACTTGTCTGTGGGATGCTAGCCCAGCTGCTATTCATGAAAAAAAAAAACATTTGCTGTGTATTCATCACAGATGACCATTTATAATTCAGTTTCTTATTGGGCAGATGGAAAGGTTTGGTAAGAAACTAAGTAAGTAAGAATTCTTGAACTGCATAGTTGTTCTGGGTCATGACAGCCAGGCAGTTTATTTTTCACCAAGGCCAGCCTACATATTTCTTGCAGCATTGATTCATTTTGATATGTAAATGACCCCCATAGCCCAAGTCTCCTCTCATCTTGACAGATTTCCCTTACTCCCTCACAAATGAACAGCCAATCTACCTGTTGAAGTGGGAGGAGAAGCTGGGTGAAATCCCCAAGGAGATGAAGACTGGAAGGATGTCAGGACACAGGCATCCAAAAGTCAATATATTTGCACTAGAAAATGATTTTTCCAATTTATAGTGCTTTGTGTTTCATGGTGTAATGGAAGTAGTGGACCCTGTTTGTTACTAAGCGAATGTAGGTCCTAAAGTTGGTCAAGATGCAAGGTCTAAGGACTCAAGCACCCAGCAAGGGATGATGGGCTTTGATGCAATTGGCTTCAAAGTTATACACAACAGCTGACAGCAGGTGGAAACAAAATGTGGCACAAAATCAGCAAGCAAGGCTGTGGTCAAACAGGCAAGAGGTCAAGAAAGACAGATAACAAGGTGTGCAGAGACACTGGCATAAAGGAATGTGAACAAAAAGGATCATTGAGATCAGACGGAGGTCATAAACACGGAATTCAAAATTGAATAGAATCACTGGTATTTGAGCCTAGGAAGAAATACTCAGAGGGTTCTTTGCTCAATCAACTCCCAAGTGCACTGAGCAAGCTTAATAGCTTTCCGAGACATAGGGGTCTATTCACAAAGCTGCCGAGGGCAGCCGAGTGAATGACCGATCAGAAGTGAAGTGAGCCGAACACCGTTCGGCTATTCACTTCAGGCTGGTACGGCCGATTTCAGCCGTATATCGGCTGAAATCAGCCGTACATCGGCTTGCTTCGTGTGGCTTCGGATCAGCCGAACATGCTCAGCATGTTCGGCTGACCCGAAGTGCAGAAAACTCATAGGAAATGTCCAGCAGCACCTCTCACTAGAAACCAGCAGGGGGAGTGCAAGAATACTTAATCATGCAGACTCGAAAAGTCCTACAGCAGTTATTTGAGGATTTAGAAAACTGTTGCACAAATTAACAGGCATCAACTATGGAATCTAAGTGCAAAATTGCAGACTGATCCTGTAGAGACTCAGCTGCAACATGAACAGCTAAGGACATTCACACAGCCTGACCTGTTGTAACTGTGGCTTGTGTCTTGACATCATCTCACCGATGAACTACATCTTATCACTTCAAACCCTTTGACGACTGCACTCTTAAAATTCCTGTGGCACCAACATCACCCTCCAGCACATGTGCCACTCTGTTGTCCCTGCACTTTCTTTCTTCCTTTACAGGATCATTTGGACTATAGCAGTAAAGAAGGCCACCCTTCTCATCTCAGGCATAAGGAAGACGTGACAATTACAATACTATTCAAGACAAGATGGTAAGGAGGGCCCGGTCCGTGAGAGCTTACAATCTAAAAGGGAGGGGCAAGTGATACACGAGGAGGTAGCTGTGTGGGGATAAATAGTTTGAGAACATGATGGTTGAGTGCTCAGGTTGAGGTGGGATAGGCTTCCCTGAAGAGAGTCTTTAGGGGTCACCTAAAGGCAGTAAGAGTGGGAGATAGACAGACAGGTTGGGGTAAAGAGTTCCAGAGGATGGAAGATACTTTTTATAATAAAAACTTTTTCTGAGACCATACTGCTGCTACAGCCATTTTTATGGCATTCTGAAAACCCAAGGCTTCCCATATGTAGATAGTCTGAAGAAGATACTCATTTATTACATAAAATATTTTATTACATTTTCTTTTTTTTTTACATTTAGACAGTAACATTTGTGATACAAAATCTTTTACAATATATAGTAATGTTTCCTTAGCAAATGTTTGACAAAAATAATACTTGTATAATGGTAAACAGGAACGTAGTAGAGTTATTTACTTTGTGGAAAAAATGTGTCAGAACATTGGGAGTGTTTCTGTTTCAGAAACTGTGCACATGGTGCCTTAGTGGTTAACAATCTGGGCTGGTAGAGCTTGAGATCCTTAATTCAGTTCCCACCAGAGACACCAGGCTCTTCTTTCCTCCGACAATCACCCCAAAAAAATGCATGCCTAGTATATGTTCAGGTCAGCTTCTGTGGGAATCTAAACTTTGTTGGCTTTTTAAAGCTTATGATACTGTAATTTACCCATATTTGGCCATCACATAATTTGCAACACATTGATTCATTGTGGCATGTTATAGAGGAGGTGACTGCCAAATTAAGGTTACATCATTTAGTAGAATTAGATTTAAATTACCAATGTTATAATTGCTTTGTTTGCATCACATTAGATGTATTACAACTGTAAAACAGTCTATTTACAGTCATGCTAATAAGTTTTATCCCCCACATTAATTCTATCTTACTGAAAGTATTGGAGAATAATTTCCCATTTCCTTTCTTTCATAGAGTGGAATGGAGAAGGTTAACTGCTCAATGTCACCTGTTTATGAGCAGGTTGGTATTTTTTGCTATTAAAGTATAATCCCACATGATAATTCTCATTTGACATAGTTCTACACATTTGCCCGAAGGTCTCCTGGAGCAGAATTAAATAGTAGTTGTATGTCATGGTGATTTTATGCAGCCTCTGAGATTAAAACAAATGGTGTGTACCCAAGCCTTATGCTGAGCATACACATGGCATTTTTAGAAGCCTACTATCATTTTCCAATCAGAAAATTCATGAAACTAACCAGGTATGAATCGGACATAAGATGCTAAAATGTTTGAAATACATAAAGTTAACCTGGGGGAGTGTTTTTTCCTCAAAACTGGAGTTTAAATTGAAATCTTTATTTTAATGTGGTCAGTTATGATGGCCTCACTAACAAAGAACACACAATTACTTAGCTATTAAAATCAGTTTCAGGAAGGCCTTAAAGTAGAACTATGTTCAGGTGGTGGACATTCATCTATTTATGTATTCTTAACAAGCAGTAAAAATGCTTTATAATAAGCCCTTACTGACCTCTGGACATGCAGTTACCATTGAGTTATTCATTCTGAGAATACTTTAACTTTTATTTTCCGTCAGGGAATCCTTCTGTTTCCCCGGTCAACAGTGAATTGGCAACCTGCCAGCCTTCTAATCTGTAATGTAACACAGCAGGTATACCGGAAGCGGGGGGAGAGCATGATGCAGAGTACTGACTTGCAGAACCTCACTGGAACTCCCACTGGAGGAATTGCCCCACAATGCTTGCAGCTACGGAGGTAACTGAAGAAGAGATCACTATGTCTGGATGCACGATCAATGTGAATGTTTCCTAATTATCTAAAGTGGTTCTCATATCTGTGCCACTGCTTGTGAAAATTCCATAGCAGAAAGGATGACCAGTATTAGTATCTTGAGCATTGTGACCTATGTGCAGTATATATATATTTTTAACTGTTAGTGCTTTAACCAGTAGTGGACATTATTTGTTTGTTTTTTTATTTATAATAAAAATATTCATAAAATTGTAGATAGGGCAAAAAACTTGAACAGGTCCTCTATGCTACGTAAATATAAAGCTGTGCACCACGGGGCATGAGCACTTGTCAGCTTGTCTAATTTTTTTCCAGGAACCATGACACCTGGTATTACCCACAGCTTGCCAGTGAAGAATCTGATTTCTGAAAATAAAGGTAGAAATGTTAGTCAGCGTAGCATATGTTATTTTTTAAAGGGTAGCATATACTGTATAATAACAAAATGAGGAGAGCAGAAATGTCCTAACCATCAATTCTCTTTTTTTATTTCTAACCCTATAAAGCAAAAGAAATCTGGTAGGTGGAATCACCTGTGTGTTCCACAATCATGTTGTGAAGTTAGCAAGATATCATTATGTATGCCAGTCATCTTGTATGCTTATCAATTATTGGTGGTTCATGTACTATGTACTATGAACCACCTAGTACTATGCGGAAAAAATGGCCACTACTAAATGGTCCTATATGAGTAGGAGAGAGAAGAAGATGAGAAAAACCTGTGCTCAGTCTTCCTGAGTAGTATACAGTACATATTTTCTAGTAGATATGGTATGTTTGCACTTACAATATTCACAATTTCACACTTAGGCTCTGTAATTCTTATAATAACCACTACTACACATTGGCTAGTCAATATCCATTCAATAAAAAATAGCCAAGATTATTCATTTGAGCCCTTCAAAAAAAAAACATTTCTTCTAAAGATTTTAAGATTTTCTTTTTTAATTCATATGATTGTGTTTGAGGCTGACATGAGAGACTTACATAGTTTATATGTTTTACATAGATTATTGCTACTTCCAAGATAGGTGAAACATTGACTTACTTATTGGCATCACTGCCATCGCCATAGCATTGATGATTTCTAATATTCATTGCAGGGTGCTGGCAAGCAACACATACTGTGTACCCTTCCCGTAGGTAGAGCATCCAACGTGCATGTGGGCGGTCCTCTGTTAGACAAGCTGGAGACAAGGATTCAATCTGGAACTCCACACAATATCTGGTGTCAATAATTGGAAGATTAATATAATTAACCTTTTCAAACCATGTAAGGCACATATACACATCTTGATGTAGCTAATCATATATGCAAAGATCTTACATTAACTACAAAGGTCATGGCCCGTTGTTACACATATAACTTAGTACATTTAGGAACCATAATTTCTGTTGAAGGGCTGATCTATAAATAATGAAGCCTTCGTACAAAAATCATTATAGGGCTCCCTCACTTTCCGATGTCAACCTTAAAAATAGAACCTACCTCTCACCCATTCTAAACAATTTGATAGAGTCTAAGACCAAAGTGACTTTGTCACTGGTGACCACTCACTAGCTACAGAACTGGCATAAAACCCACTGACATTCTCCTACGGTGTCGCTTCCTCATTCACTTAACCAGTGAGATGTCATTCTATTGCTTCTCCCTCTTTAGCAATGATTCTGCATTCTTTAACTATTTAAGTCCCTCTGTGTTTATCCCCCTAAATCCCTTTGAGTCCCAGAGCATTTTTTTTTCATTTTGTTGATGTCTGAGTTGCACACATTATACCATTAGAAAATATGCATTTCCTTGTAATTTTTCCCAACGCAATGTTTACATTATTTGCTCACCCCCATTTACCACAAAAGAAAATCAACAAAATCTGCTGATTTAAATGATATCACATCAGACTGGCTTATCTAGCATAGCAGAATGGTAAAGCTTACAGTGAACATACGCATTTGCCTTCAGGAGAGCTAACATTGTGTTAGTGTACTATTAGGATGACATTAAGTTAGGTTGATGAGGGCACAAATTAGCAAGACGATGACTTTTCTACAGGTTTGCAATCCCTAAAAATGGTTGAAACCATATTCACAAAGAATGTTATAATTATGTGGACATTGTTTTATTGCGTACAATTAAAGTGCGATTTTATATCTGAATGATAATGATGAGTATGTTTCATTGGTTACCATTAAAGCTCCACCTTACCCTGAGTCTGCATTTTGTATAGATATTGGGAGCGTGGTACGCGTCCCTAGGAATATGGTCTCCCATTTATAAGTAATTTATAAAATTGTCTTCACTAACGTGAGCATTTCATGCTTGTGCAGTAAATGCAAATATCATCCATGTCATCCAACATTGTTGTTTAACAGAGATTAGTTTGGGAGGGAATATTTGTATTTACTTTTTGTGTGCATACATACAGTGTGTATGTGTGTGTGTGTATATATATATATATGTGTGATAGCTTTTGGAGGTGACCCTGTCACCTCCAACACAGAAGTTCTAGCATAGCACTGTGCTATTTCTCCTGTGACAGGAAGGCTACATTCCTGTGTAACTACACACATGGAGCAGAGTAGAGAACCGTTCTCTGCCTTGCTCCGTGCTTTGGAACCTAATTTGCCGTGGTCATGAATTCCCCACAAGAGGGGGACACCCCGAAGACTACGGCAAAAAGGAATCCAAGGTGCAGAGAGACAGGCAGCCGGGAGCAGTACACGGCCGGCCGGCCGCTGGAAATAGAGAGAGGGGAGGGGAGAGGAGAGGGGGAGCGTGATTCAGGCAGGTTAAGAATGATTTTGGGACGGCTGTACAGCCGTTTAAAATCACTTGTACAAAACGGCTCCCACACTACATTTAGCCGGGCTGCTTGTAGGAAAAAAAACTACTTGCCCGGCGCCCGAAACTGCCTGTCCAGGGCGTCGGGGGAGCCTTTGCTAGCCAAGTGTCAGCCGAGGTCTGATCTAACCTTTCTGTGCGTTCATAACACCAGGTGCCTAAAGGCTTCTAGGCTGGCCCTGCATCTACATCAGCAATCCTACTTGAAACTCTGTAATATTTCACAATATTTGACTAAATAAATACCCAGGATCTTCTGTATGGGAAGCCCAGTCTGGAGACAATGCACGCTTCCTTCTGGCTTTGTTGTACTCAAAAGCAGTGATAAAAGCAGGCACTGGAAAGAAAATAACATGTATAAATATATGATTCAACACAAACTTCTCGGTTCATCACTCATAACCATTTTGTACTTTGACAGTGCCACCCAGAATCAAATAAGACGACATCTACCACCTAATTATGGAAGTCAATAGAAAAGCGTGTCACAGACTTTGTTCTGATAAGGTGAAAATTATTTTAAGTCAGAGGACTGCAGAGCTGAAATCACAAGATGTCAGGAAACTTTTGTGTGAAACTACCATTGTGTCTTACTGTAAAATCACTCGTTTTTGGCATCTGCTTTGCGGCATATGTCTTAAAGTGTTCCACATTTGCAGTCAATAGTGAGAAAAACTCTCTATGTTTGTTATGTGTTCCCATTCACACAACCCAAAAATTATTATTTTTTAAATATTTATTTTAGATGTTTTGTTGCAGCATGCAACGTGGCTGATTCCAGGTTTTTCTGAGCTCCTTTACAATGACCTGTCCTTATAATAACTTAGGACTGAAATTTGAGGATTATGTTAACTTTACTAACATTTGAATGCAGAAGCCAGGGTTGTAATCCTTTAACCCCTCACAGCCCTTCCTAACAGCACAAAGAAGGAGAAGAAAGTAGACATTTTACCCCTTAGGACGCCAAGAAACCATAATCAAGTAAAAGCAAATTTAAAAAATGTTTAAATTTATTTAGCTTATGCTATGTGAATAGGAACATGTAACAAATATAAAAAAGGTGTTACCCCAATTTGACTGCGAAAGGAGAAATACACTTTAATGCAAATTTCTGCAACTCGGGTAACAAAATAGTGGGACCAAAACATCACATTCATAAAATACAGATATTTTTTCTTGTCTAACAAATAGAGTGTAATACAGCCCATACGCATTTTTTATTTTTAAAGCAATGCCAGGCTATTTTAAGCTATTTTACTCACTTTCAGCCGGCTTTCAAAAGCAAAATTGGCCAAACAGATTACGACAGCTTGCCGCCAAAAATGTCAATTATTTCACAGTTTCAGTACAAGCTGCTTGTGGTGGCTAGCATTGTTCTGACAGAAAGTCTTTGAAATGACATCTAAGCACTGCAGATAATCTGTTAAAGCAACGGGTAAGAAGGCCTGGTTGATCCCCATCAAAGCTTATATAAAAGAAAAGTATATGCCCATGTAGACTGATGAAAATACTGTAAAAACGTAGGTTTACTGACAATATCATGGTCAGAAAAGTCATGTGTCATTTTCCTGCCTTCTACTAGCAAACCTGAGCAATAAGCTTAACAGCAAAGGTACAGGAAGGTCAAATCTTTCAGTTCTCGCACAGGCATGGATACTTTGATTTCTTTTATTTTTTTGTTAGAAATATGTTTGTTGAATTTTTAAGGTACAATTAAAGTATAAAACAATACAATCTGTACAACATCCTGGAATCAACCAGAAATAGGGGGCTTACTATCGCAGCTGGCTCACATGCTAGAGACTGGACCTAAGATAATATAAGCAGTATGTAGAAGGGTGGTCTGTGGGCAGGTTAAGAGCTGCCTCGCATCTATAAAGGATCAAATTGGAAGTCAGTCACAAAGGACCTAACAGAAGCAAATATTAAAGGTCAGAGTCTACGGCAGAAGTGTTCAATCCAAACATCCCACACCTTACTGAATTTAGCAGCACAGCCTCTATGATAGTAAGTATCCTGATACAGAGACAAATTTTCATTCACCAATTTCTTCCAAAACTGTCTCGTGGGAAGAGTAGGTTTCTTCCAAGACATCACTATTGCTTTACAGGCATAGAAATGGATAGTTTTATTTACATAATTCCTCCATACTATTTATTTTTTTGCATAATTTAATCTCTGTAACTTTGTATACAGGTTTGGCGGTCCTTATTCTATATCTGAAAATCTCATTTGAAATGCACTCAAATTTGTGGAATTCATATAGTCTCTAATAACTGTACAGCATACTTATTTCTTAAAGGAGAATTATGGGGTCAGTGCTTTTCCACATTGTTCTCCCCAGGGTCACGGGAGGACACAAACTAGCGTCCTCCCGTAACCCAAAGCTCAGTAGCTCGCGGTATACTGAGACCGCCGCAGCCGGGACGGATCCCGACATTTCTGTCGAGATCAACCCAGCTGTGTGATTGACAGCTGGCTCTGCCTATCTAGAGGCAGAGCCTGCTGTACCAGCCCCCTCCCCTGTCCGTTCCGCCAGTCAGCGCTGGAGGATCAGACAGGGGAGGGGGGAATCCCTGCAGGGAGCCGTGAGTGACAGTCACGGCTCTCTGCAGGGACAGGATCGAGAAGTGAGCGAGCGACAGTATGTGCTCGCTCACTTCCCAATCTATTGAACCGACGCGTGACAGTTTAATTGTCACAAGTCGGCTCGAACTTTGAGGCTGAGTGATTTTCCCTCACCTCATAGTTCTCCTTTAATTCTGAGTCTCTACAGTACTGTTTTTATAATATTGTATTAGATTCTATTGTACCATGTAAATGTCCACACTCAATGCCTTGATTTGTGAGATATTCCAGACATCCAGCCTTTTCTTCCAGATGTGGGCAGGGCTCTCCACCATTTTCTGGCTCCTGTAGCACTTCACGTCTGCGCACTCTGAAAGTTGGGGTACACTGATTTGCACAGCCACTCCAATGGCTCCATTCACCAACAATGCATGCAATAGCTATTAAGAAAGCACAAATATTACATCAATGCTGTAAATTGTATTCTCATTCAAAAAAGTACGAAACTTTACTATACCAGGTATCGTTTTAATGTTTGTTTTTTTGTTTTTGCATTTGGTAAATACATCTACCATTGTATACTGACCAGGAAAGTTTAGAATTTAATTGTGGTTTATTTTGTTTGTTTGGTGCATTGTGTGAGTGCACATGAAAAATCCTTTAACTGCATGTTGCTATGTCTGGGCTTTTTATGTGCATGCACCAGTGGGAATATTGGGGTGCCTACCAGGTAAGTTCAGTTATTGACACCTAAATATATCAAGAGAAATAAAAGATGATGTAAGGCAGTGTGCAAGAAAGGCCTTGGACAGTCCCCCATAGGATTGACTAGAGAAACAGAAAATAGAGTGATCTGTCATACTGCAGTTGGATGGTATACAGTCCACCACTGTGTACCATGTAGTGGTACCACTGGCCCCAGTATCAGGTGTCCCATGTTCAGCAAGATCAGTTATATGCTCAACAATACTCTACTCTCTGTCAATGCTTCTTAATTTTGTTTACTATGAAAGTTAATTGTGATAATGCGTAAGATCACTGCTCTCTCTTTGTTGTCTGTATTTGATTTTCCTTACAACCGCAGGTAAAGCCACACTGCCATGTTAGTGGGCCTCTACAAAGTGTGGTCTCTAACTATGCGAGCTTCCATCTTGGGGCATATACTATATGTATTAATGAATAAATTGAGAGCAGACATGCTTTGGAGGTAGCACAAAAGTATGTAAAAGCATAAAATAATTCTCTATAAAAGATGCCTCACAATCTAAACAAGGAGCTGCTCACGTGAATGTGTTGCTGGTTTCTACTTACAAAAAGTTACTGGGGTTTAAAAACGCTAAGAAAAAAAATAATTTAAAACAAAAACCATTACAGTTTTACCTTAGTGTCTATAAAAGAATTCCTGCAGTATAGGCAAGCTCACCTTAATTTGCTATTGCATGTGCCGGGCGATTGGAATTCCACACCCCTGCGGCCAGTATCAGCTGTGCCGCCTCTCTACTCCCTGGTGCCCCGAAGCCAGGCCTCGGTGGCCTTGTGGTGAATCGGGCCCTGGAAGGATTCCTGTAAAACTCAGGGAAGCTCTCCCTGACCCCATACATTTTTACATGCACTGCCATTATAGTTTCGGATTGATGGAGTTAGGAACTTGTACTTCTGTGACAACCATATCTACGCTTGTGGAAAGGCAGTTTAAGAAACCAGGTAGCCAGCAACTAAAGGAATTTGCAGAGCAGCAAGGCCTGGTACATAGAATTAGCTGGGCCAAGCACAGTGGGAACAGACTTATTATGTCTACTATTTGTAGGAGCATAACTCCATTTTAACATCCTTGCTAGGTCAGTTATAGATATGGCAATTAAGTTTTTTCAAATCTTTGCTTCTTGCTGTTCTTTTTAAACAGGCACATGGATTCCAATCACTTCCTACTTCCTAACTGCTAAGTGAGAGGGTCTGCCTGCTATAGTCACAAACTGTCTCAATGTGGAGACGCAGTGAGCCAATCACAGAAGCATGGAATGCCATTTGTGGGGGAGTTCCATATGCAAAGAGAATTCACAAAAGGCCTTAGTGTTACAGTTAGCAGGTTACAAGGAAGCAAAAAAATTATGTATTTTAAAAGCACTGTGAAGCAATAGTACAGTATCCTATCATTCATATCATTGTTTAGGATAAATGGAATTCCCTTTTAAGGAACTATTTTCATATTTTAACAATAACAAGCAACTACAACATGAATAATAAAGTATATTTCTGTATTCTTTCAAAGTGTGAGAAATGCACATAGTGTGGATTTCATAAATACATAATTCCAAAGTTCAGTCATCAGCTGGTCTCTTATTACATTGGGTATTATTCAGGATGCTAAAAACTTTTACAAGATACAATCTACAGTCAAGCGCCTTTGTTGCTGGCACCCTTTTTTCTGCCGCCACCTTATTTTGACTGCTTTACAATTGTGGATTTAGAACAGAGCAAATTCTTCTCATCTCGTCAGGCTGAAATTCCTCTAACGGCTTCCAATCAAACTTTATCTAATCCTTTGCCAAGATTTTCTGTTTGTCATTTTCTAGCTCTGTCAAAACAGTAGACAGTTGTGTAATGCTGTGCTGTTGTTAGATATGTGGGAGATAAATAGTCTTTCCTTGTGTTCTTGTGTACCATGACATATCTAAGCAGCTTTGTGGTTTCCACTCCAGTCAAACGGAGAAAGTTACATTACATTAAAGTGACAATAATCCTACAGGCATAGGTCTGACAGTCTTTTCTTTTCTGTGAATTGAAATTCAGTAAAATATATTCACAACAGGCTGCAAGGAGATCCCATGGTTTAGAAGCAAGTTAGCATCTCCATCTCAGTCCTAAACTTAAACATTCAGAGCTTCAAAGTCCTTCCACTGCAGGGGCATACAGTATGAGCTTCCTTTTTTACTTCAGATAAGTAGTGGTTCACCTGAGCTGTGAATTGGCATGATTCTTTTCCTTTACTGACCTCCCATTCCCTGACACCCATTCCCTGCTAGAAAGATCTGCAGTAAAATCTGGATACTACTGGAGAGCACTTTTCTGTCCAGTGCTTTACCCTACAATCTTCCCATAGGGTTACACAGGAGACTCACTGGCAGAAGCACATGACTATGAGCCTGATTCAGATGTCTTATACCAGCTCCCACTGCATATTTGTAAGTAGGAGGACCTGTCATCCCCTTACCAGCAAAACATACATTATAGACTACTACAAAAAATCTTGCATTTCAGTACAGGGATTTCCTACTCTCCCTATTCAATCTCTACTCTCCATCTCCATTTAAAAATAATAGTTCTCTAGAACAGATCCAACAATGCACTAGTCAGATTAATAATGTTAAATGAATGGGATTTTTTTAAATAAGTTCATGGTGGTGGGAGACCTGGGCCCGTATACTTCAGAAAATTATTGTAATTTGAATGTAGAAATGCTTATTTTAATAATTAAGCAGACTGCTGTAGTTCAGGTTCTCATTAGTAAACAGAGTGACAGATTTATATGTATTTATAAATGATCATGTCATAATTGGCTATACAGTGTTTCATGGTTCTCCAAGATATCACTAAGAGGATGTTGAGTCCCACCAGCTTGACTGCTTAGTGTTTCTGCAAAACATCTGAAAATATTGGTGACTATGCACAGATAAGCAATTCTGTTCTCACCGGTTGTAGGGGAACTATCATTGCAGCATGTCTTACCCATCTTCAACTAACAAGCCACTCAGAAGAAGTGATTTAAGCTTTGGCTCCATCACCACTGCAGTCTGAATGCAAAGATATGAATTCCTTGTGGAGCAAGTCTGCACAGCACACTATTGACTAACAACAAGCTTCAGACTTGTCCATGGACTTTCTAAAAGTCCTGTTCGTATAGAAATGTATGATTTTCTAGGTTTCTTGTTGTCCAGAATGCTTCAAACTGGGAATCTGCCAGCTCCGGCCTTTGTCAGAGGGTCTAGGAGCTCTTTTATGATGCTCAGTATCATTCACCTTGGCTACTGGAAAGGCTTTCTGAAGCATTTATACGTAGGCACGCACTTGGAAATATATTTTCAGATGGGGCAAATAAATTGATTCTGAAATACTAACTGTGAAAATAATAAAGAGTGTTGTAGATACTCATCAAAAATCTGTCTCAAAGTGGTGCAATTTGCTACAGATTCATGTATGTGCCGGTAAAGTGTATATGAATCTGTTGCAAATTCAGAAGAATCAGAATAAATTTTTTCGCAGAGTTGTCTCAAAGGTGCAGCACAATTTGAACTAACATGGAAAAGGTCTTATTTACCTTCACTGCTCTTCTTAACATTACATTTAGATTTCTTTATAAATATGCTGCAGCCAATCCAACACAATTTAAAACTGTTGCACATAAGAACTACCTGAATTTGTCAGGAAGCATCGGAACCCATCAATATAAATATTGCATGGCTGGAACTAGGCTTGATTTAGCCCTTTCTAATATGACCATATCACCAGAAAAGTTTCATCTTCTATATTGAATTGCAGTCTGAATGTCTACATTAAATTACTCTACTGGTGCTCCTCTGCCAGTATTACTGTTTTTATGCTTCGTGATCCATAACATGTAACAAAGCACAGAGTATGCTTAAGAACCAGGATGCCCAGGGCTCTGTGTAAAAAATATGCCCAAACATGGTACAGAGGCATATTAAAAAAAACATTCCCAATAACTTTCCTCTAAGTAAGTAGAGCCTTAGTTTATGGCTTTAAATTTATTGAGGCCCCAAGTAGTTCAATTGGGCTTTGCAGTTTAACATTGCAGGATATTTCTTTCCATGGCATTAAATCATGGTTATGTTTTTTCAGATCCAGTATTCACATTAATACAATTATTTGATAAATAGTTTTACATTCATGGGTGTGTTCCCTGACAAAAATGATGTATGGAATTTATGAAGACAAATCTGTTTTGCTTTTGAGTTAAAAGCTGAACTCCAGGCAAACATCTGCATATACAGCTGAACCACTTACAGTATATGGGAGCTGTTTTACCTGCCAAATGATTTCTAATTCTTGCTTGCCATCTTTAAACTGCAGTGACATTTGTTGGCCAAAAACTTCCAGCCTGCATGCCATAGCTGACACATGGGGGTTGATTTACTAACCTTATAAACACGCCATGAACAAGTATACACCTCCGTAGTGTGTTCCCTCCCAGTATGATCTATTGGTGGAATCTAGACACCTTTGTAGTGTGTACACACCCAGCAAGTGTGTTGTGCAAAGCCCTGCATGAATTGCAAGGTGATGTTGTGTAAATTAGCTCTACGTTGTGTTGCTTGCATTGATGAATGCAGGAATGTAAATGCATGAGCTAACCATTTTTGTCTAAACTGTGAAGCAGCATTATATATGCATCATGTGCATGATTTTTCCATATATGGCATTA